TATAATTTCAACCAATTTACTGACTTGTTCAATAAATTAGAATACGAGTATTTCTTATATTATTAATTAGGTAAAAAAAACATTTTGTATTTTCATCAACAAACAGTAGAACAATACAAAAAACATATTATTTGGAACCGTTGAAATCTGAAGTTTATAAGAATGTAATTGATAAGGCCAAAGATACTTACATTTTTGAGTAGCATTCACAGAAAGTAGAAGAATATTCTTTACAATATTTCATTGATGAGATGAATTAGATTCCGAATATAAAATTGAAAAAACATGTACATGACATACTTTGGATAGTCATTGTAGAAGATAAAGAATATCTAATGTAGTTTTTTTAAGTTCGACATGGGTAACAATTAAAATTTTAATAATATCATAATGATGAATTGGGAGTTTATTTGGGAGAAAGTAAGAATTACATTAAACAATTGAATATCCTTGATTAAATTGATGACTTCTTTATCAAAGGATATTGTATATCATTATACCAATGTTCAGATTGCAAAAGTTTATACTAAGTATTGTAATTCAGAAAGAAATATGCTTTATATTACACTTTAGATGAGTTGAGATAGTTTATGTTTGCCAACTTAAAGTTGATGACCAAACATCATATAATGAATGTTTCCATATACAATTACATACTTATTCAAAATGAATACATGATATTAAATTCAGTCAGTTAGGACAACAATTAAGTGTGGCAACTAGTTTAAGTGGTTCTTGAAATGATCTATCTATAACCAATAGAGGATTTTGCCGAGGCATTACAGCATTTGGATCATCCACTCAAATATTTCTTAATGGAGGTCATTCATGCTGACAAAACTCCAACTTAAATTCTGGATATGATGTTGGATCAAAAACCCTTTTGGGAGATAGATTTTTAGCTGGCTTATGTTAAAAAAGAGTAATCATATTAGATCTACATGGAGAATATGAAGCATTAAATCAATTTCCATCTCAGAATCAAGCAATTCGATAAATGCCTCATTCTTATAAAAGAAGTAGAGGAATACCTCAGAATAACACATTATTAAAATACCTAAGAATTATTACCATATTTTATTAATTCATTTTCTAAAAACCTTAGTTAATACATTTTGAGATCGAATGAAATTAAAAAGGTTTTGGATACGTTATTGATATATTATTTTAAGATTAGTGCTCTATTTGCACTTAGAAAGGAGTTTGAAAACGAGATTTCTTAATTAATTGATGGGTTGAGAAGATGCAGCGCATAAATTAGAGTCATGTTTAGATAATTAAGTCTAAATGTAAAATTAGAAAATCTGTCAGAAATTGAATAATGTATCATATTGAAAAGGAAGTTGAAATAAACATGTGAAAAGTAATCGTCTATTAGTTCTTTTGAAAGATTGAATCTCATAAATACTCTAAGAAAAAATTAAGACTATATACTTGTTATTGTTCAATATTAGACATAATTACAGAGATATCTCAATTAGTTTTCAACTATTCAAGCAATAGATTCCTATTTCAATTAAAATTTTATTATGGCTGGTATCTAATATGTGGAAATTATATCTAACTAAGAGAAATTAGTCATAAGAGAACCAGCTCCTTAATTTTTAGATGTTCCTCTTGATCATAGTCCAGGATTAATAAATCTGGAATAATCTTCCCCTTTAGAGGATGAATAAATAGCAACAGCCAATACAGAAACCAGAACCAGTTGTTTGATTAATGGAGATAAGTTATATTGCACTTAATTACTCTACTTAAAATTTTTATATTTGATCAATCTCTATGATAGTAAAAATGAATAGTTTTCATACTATTACGATGATTTTTTGGAATTAAATGGAGTATACGAGCCAGTGTTTAAGTTCTATCAAAATTAATTAAAATTGTTAAGGAAAGAAGATATTCCAGAATAGGATTTGGAGGAAGAAATGAATTGTGAAATTGGGAAATATTTGTCCATCAACCTTATGAAATGGTGGGAAATAGGTAAAAATAAATAATTAAATCTCTTCTAATCTAATGATGATGATTTCATTAAAAGATAAATATTGTTATTTTCTAATCTTAAACAAACACTCGAAAATAGAAAAATATTGGTGTCTAAAGTTAGTAGTAAACCACCCAGTACACTAGATTCATATAACTGTTTAGTTCAAATTAAATTAATTTAATAAATTTTGCATTTAGATAACTTCTAACCTATTAGTCATTCAATACCTAGATAGATCTAGGGCAAATAGATTAGACTTTCAAGCAAGGTCTCATATATAAGACTATTGAAGGAATTACATAACCAATTTAAAATTAAAAAAGACTCTTGGTTTTTCCAATAATGTCTGGAGGAATTACAAATGTTTTACTTTTTGTCACTTTGTTTTTCTTATTCACCTAAACACATTGAAAATCTTGATTAAGAAGAATCTGAAATTGCCATTTATGCTGTTAAATAGATTAAAAAATTTCAATCTAAACCCAAATTTTATTGTTAAATACTTAAATGTACTTAGATAAATAATAAATAAGCTGGAAAATTTTTGATAGACTCAAACCTATCCAAATATTAGTAATATCAAATATTTTGTCAATTTATGAATTGCACACTTAGATAGCATTCTAGTTTGAAAAGCACCATAGACTTGATAGAAGAGAACATAACAGAGGACCTTCAACCCTCAATAATAATTCTTGGTTTGCTACATGCTTTCCTCTATTTACAGTAAATAGAGATTGTGGATTTGATATATTGTTTTACATCTAGACTACTTCAATCTTAGGCATACATTTTCCATAGAACACATCCTGGATTTGAGCAAGATCTATAGATCGTCGAAAGTCTTTATAAGGATTCCAATCAGTATATTCCTTATCCCTAAAAATATTTATATGAATACACAAACGAGTTTAAGTATTTTGACGATTCCAAATTCCATTGTTAATACCTCTTATTCAATATCTTAATTAATTAGGACTATTTTTTGATCTAAGAAATTTTGTGCGAGTGTATAGAACAATTGAAGCATCAGCCTAATGTAGTTAGATATTTGGATTTATATTAATGTTTTTTGGAAGTTGTCACTTCAATGACTGGTCAGATGGAACCAAAACAATAATATATGTATAATAGAATATTTAACATATAGAATTAAATTAAATGATTATAAAGAGGGAACTTTGATGTACGCTATATTAGCTCATTTCTAATGCAAATATTATATCAATTTAATCGACTATGAGAATGCCTTAAAGTACTCGCATAAAGTTCTTCAATATATTAATACATTTCTCAAATAGGAAAAGATCATAATCTCTATTGTGAACAACGTCTTAGTATAATTAATTACTATTTTTAGCACTAAGAATACCCAATAAATGCAACTTTAAAGCAACTTAAAATACTCGAATATGAATACCTAATCGATGAAAGTACCGACTCAGATTACATTCATTTGTTTAATAATGAGCTCATAAATGAAGCTATTTTGAATCATATTCGAATCTTAATCAACTTAGAATAGAAGGTACCGAAGATAAATCTACTATTTTAATTACAACTAGGATTATAAAACAGAGTTCATATTTCCTATCTTTAAATGATATATGCTGAATACTTTAAATTTCTCTAGGCTGCTGAAGATTTTAAATTAATCGAAGAACTTATTGATGATTCCACAAATTAAGTTGAAGATATTAAGTAGAAAATATAAAATGAAGAAAAGAAATAATAAGCCTATTATTCTTTGAAATTGAATTTTGTGGCTGATGTGACTGAAATCGATTATAGATTGAAAATTTTGGACTTTTAACTCAGTGTCTTTTAAGCCTCCAAAATGGGACTGAATTATAAATTAATAAATAATTGGGCTACATAATGTGCATAAAGAGCTATTGATGGATATTTAAAAATATTACCTATCAAGCAACAAATGGTTCATCCCTATGTCTCAATTATGTATTTGATCTAATGTGAATCATATTAATTTTTGAACTAGATCTAAAAGGCATAAAATATGATAGATTAAGCAGAAATCAGCCTAAAGAGTTGGTTTGATGATAATAAACATCCTCTTAAAGGTTTGTTCTTCTTTAACTCGGGGAATCATTGCAAATGGCTATACAAATAATACCTCAGGTGTGTCTAAGAGATTATTGGATTAAATTAATTTGATGCTGTTGAAGTTAAAGTTATTGTTTAAGGCTTAATAAATTAAGAGCCTTAAATCCTTAAGACTTTTGATTACTACCATTCTGGTATTATAAAAACGATTGCTGGTCACCTAACTAATTATATATATTCACAAATTGGCAAGCATGTCAGATAGAACATTTTCTATAAGTATACAATTTCTGATGCTTAAGATGTCTTAGATGACATTATATACATGAGTTCTTTAAAGGAGCTAAATGGTGTCACTTAATATCTTGATGTAAAAATAAAATTATATTTAGGCCTTAGCAATATTTAATCACTTTGAGACTGAACACAAATGTATTGACATCATTAAATGCGCAATTATTGCTGAAAATTGACTCTTATTAATTAATTTCACTTAAGTAATGTTATAAACTATTATTATTTAATTTTATAAGGTGTTAAATTATTATTTTGGTCTCATTATTTATAAATTAAGCATTCTAAATAGCAATTTAGTTTATATGAATATAAATTCTAGAATTTAAATACTTTTAAGGTTTCTTTAATAACATCAATTGAATGAAAAATAATTATCTCTAAATTACTTATTAATAGAAATAGTATAATTATCGGTTACTTCTTACAAAGAAAGAGAATGATAAAAAGTAAATCTAGTAAAGAATTTTATTCATTGCAATCAATTAATATATCTATTAAGAAACATGATTGATTTTACATAGTTTGCTGTTTATTTGTAATTTTATTAATGAAATAATTGAAACATTAGAGTATTGAATTATAATTATTTATGTTAATAAATTGGCAATATTATTAATCATGCAATATAGATACAATTATTCTATTCCTATCATTCCTTAGTATTCACACAAGTTTAAAATTAATTTGCTTTGCTTTCTTATTGGAAAGTTAATTACCCTAATTTATATGCAGCATTCACTATAATATAATGATGAAATTTACTTGTATTGTAAATTTTATGTAAAATAGAGCAATTACAGGGAGGCTTTCTAATAATTATTTTTTCTTCTATTTCATTGCTATCTAATTTAGAGTCCATAAATATAATGTAAATAATTAATATTTTTATTTATTTAAACAAATACTTCTCTTTATTTGTAATCTTCTGGATTCCTTAAATTGGCTTCAAACTTAATCTCATTGAAAATGATTAATTTATATGCAAAATAATATTTTTTCTTATACAAAGCTAAAAGCAACAATGTAGCTAAATACAGATCGATAAATTCAAATAATGATTAAAAATTATAGATTGTAAGAAAACATGTAATAATAATTATCAATTTGCTGATCTTTTTCATTCAATTTCTTCGATTTGATATTTTATTAGTTGACTAAATTATTTTAAGTTTAATTGTTGATTATAATCATTCAATTATTTAAAGGATATATCTAGCTTTATTTTTTCTTATTTCTCAAATTAAAAGTGTTCAAATATGGTACATAGTTCAGACTTTTTGAATTAAGATTTATTTAAAACTTGATCCAATTTATGATAGGAGATTTCAAGTTGATTTAATGAATTGTTATGCGATGAAATTTCAGTTCTATCAAGTAGGTCATAAGTTAATTTGTAGTCAAATTTTCCATTTAAATATCTGATAATCTTATCTATAACTACATTAGTAGATTTAAACATAAATTTTAAAGGTATTAATGTACCCAATATTATAATCATACCAATAATTATAGTGTACAAATTAGTTTATGTATACCAAGATAAGACTATGGCAATTTAATCATCAAGAACCTTGATAATTTCATTCTCATAAGTTAAGTTTGTTAAGCTTTTATAAATCAAAAAATATACACTAATGAAATTAATGGAGTGTTTGGTTATTGCGATGCTTTAATATACATATTGCATTTAAGTAAACTGTTGTATTTTTAAATTGGAGTGGCAGAGTTATTGACCGAATATTTTATATCATTCCAATCGGAGATATTGAATCCAGTTTGTTCTTCATCATAGATATACATCCTGCTCTTAGCAATGCCTTCATTGATATAGCTTTTAGTATACAAAATTATTCCGTCATCATAAACTAGAATAATACTTAAGCTACTAACATAGACAAATTATTCTATGTTGCGAAGATTAATTAAGAGGGATCCCACTCCACCTACCATATATTTGGAATCAAACATAACCATTGAAAATGCGGACATTGGATAATCGTAATTTTCCATCTTGACAATCGGAGCTAGCTTATAAGGTTCAAACTGTTTGCCTTGTTGAAGTTCTAACATATAACTTATGAACCAATCTCTCTATATTATTTCTAAGGTTTCATTTTTTAATTTAGTTGGATAATATCCAGTCAATAAATTATCTAAAAATGAGACTAGGTATATCTATTGTGAAACTATAAAAAAATCAAATGTGTATTGATTAATATAAAGAAGATTCAGTAATTTAAAAAATTATACTTCCTCTATTCTGCTTTACTGAAAATACTCTGAATAAGAGTAACAAGCAAAATACTTTTAAATACTGTCATCAAACTATTGTGACACTTTGCAAGGCATAATTTCTTGATTTATCTTCAAATCGATAGAGCTTGACCAATAATTGATTATGCTCAATTTTTCCATTTTTTTGGTGATCATATAAAAAGTAAAGTTTAAAATTGCAATGATTTCTTATGATTGCATGTTTAAGGCTCTATTGTCGAATAAATTAATACCTATTATTTTGTAGTGGCAATAATTATTCTGATATTTCTTGTACTTAATTTGTAGCAATATTCATTTCTATATTTGAACAGATTAAAAGTATAACAAATGATAAACAAAAGATAGAAAATGAGTAAATAAGTAAAATAGTACTCATTTTCAGTTTCGAAATCTAGTGATTAAGTGATTTTTGGCAATTTGATAATTTTTCTTCAGATCTAATTTTCATTTAATAATATCATTAATAGTAAGATCAAATATTGAATTTATTCATAAAATTATATAGGAACTTAAAAAATAATCATTGAAGATGTTTGATAAAGAAATTTAATATTTAATTTTCTCAATTGTTGCATAATTGTACTTGGGAAAATAAAGAGAAGAGTTGAAATTCCTCAATTTTTAATTGATTAAACTCCATATCTGAATTACAGGACAACTTATAATTTATTTTCTGTTTAAGATTCTGAATTAATATAGTTTTTTTATAAATTTTTAAATAATTCATTTTAATATTAATTTCTTTTTGATTCTAAATTATAAATTATTCAAGGAACTCCCAATTTTTCAAAACCCTTTATTATTATGAAATAAATTTAATGGGCTTACAACTTTTGGTTGCTGAAAATTCTAAAATTCAAACACCAATTTAATACTAAATAATTATTTCAATAAAATAAAAGTTGAGCCTATATGAATTTTTATATCAAGACAGAATCTATTATTTTAATATAACTTCAAAAAAAAGTACAACTTTGAATTGAAGAACTATTTGATGAGGATATATTAGTTAGAGTTAATTGCATTTATTCAAAGTACCATCTTATTCTTACTAGCTCAGTAGCTTAATTGAAAATTACCTATTAATTTTTAATTCACTAAAATATTGATTAATATTTGAGTTATCCAATCCGATTATGTAATTCTATTTGTGTGATAAAAATTATAAATAGAGGTTGATTACAAAATAAAGAGAATATTCAAAGTTTATATAAATAATCAAATTGGCTTGCATTTATATTCATGAAAAGTATCTGATGTTCCTTTTCTTATAAAATTATTAAATCTATATAAATATCAGAATTAATACATTATTGAATTATAAGATATTCAGTATTTAATTGACTTTTATATCATCCCCCTACACTGATTTGAAAAAGGTAACTGTAGCTTTGTTTTGAAATCTTGCCAACTTGAATAATTAAAGTACCTTATAATCTAACTGAAACTATATCTAATTTCTTATTTCAATTCATTACTTGCCTAGTAGTAATTGTTGAAAGTTATTTATTTTCTTCATGGAAAATAATAAATTTAGATATTCTTATGAGGAATTAACAAATTCTTTATATAAAAAGTGTAGTCTAATTCCAATTAGCTAACTATTTTCTCAATTTTCTGCAAATTATTCTTAAATTACCTATTTAGAGAGACAGAAGGCAAAATTTAACATTTTTTTTAAATATTCCAAATTATTAAATTTAGGAAATATGAACTTGACTATTAGATGGATGGTGATATAAGACTTGTATTATTTAGTTTTAAAGCACCAAAATAAATATTTAGGTCATTTTAAATGTTGCGCAACCACCACCAGAAAATTTCCGATTGGCAGTTGGCTAACTCTTAAATTATACAAGTTATAAAAATACACGCAAGTATGCATTCTTATTTCACTATTTTAATTATGATATATGGTGTTTATTCAATTATTTTGGATTATATTTATTCTTATTATTCATAATTAAATATTTTATGTAAATCAATTTTGTGATCAACAAATTTTTATTTTATATAATTTATTCACAAAATTAAATCTTATCATATGATTATTAATTTTTATAATAAAAGAACTATTTTATTGATTCAATCTTGGTAAATTGACTTTTCAACTCCTTTTACTAATAATTTGCTTAGTTATGCATAAGTCCCAGGACCCGGACCTATAGATGAACTTCCAAACAGTCCTCTAAATCGTTTTTCACCTCCCCAATAGGCGCGTTTAGCAGGAGCAGATGTTTGAATCTTTGCAAATGAGTCGCTTACAATAGGCGTGTAAGTACCAACAGGAGGGAGTTGAGGTAGACTCTTATTTTTCTCAGTGTTATGCTTCTTTCTCCAATCCTCAGGTTTTGTATTATTTACTTTGATTTTTGGTAAGAATGACTTTTATAATTGTTGAATATCTCACATGTGGATTGTAATTTCCAGGACCAGGAACCATAATGCTGTGAGCCATAGCATCCTCATATGGATCAGGTCTTTACAGTTCTTTGACTTTTCTGGTTTTTAGGACTTTGAGTTCTTTTTCTATTTGCTCCTATGTTTTTTCGATATTATAAGTTCCGACAGGAGGATTATTCGCTCTTTTTTATTCCTTTTATAATTATTCAAATAAAGTCAATCGATTGGGATATTTCACCTTCTTCTCTGGGATCTTTTGAATAGAGTATGATTAATATTATAAAGGACTTGGATAACTTTTGTACATTTTTGTATAATCATCTAAATAGCTGCCTCTTTTAGTTTCATGTTTCTTGTGTGCTTATTCTAAAAGCATAATCATAATGAAACTTACTTTTTTCTATCTGTTTTAGCAAATCTCGATTTCTCATCATTTCAGCTGGGTCGTGGTAAAATCTAGGGATAGCATAACCTTCAATTCCAGAATCTGTTTTATAAACAATGGAATAAATTTATTCAGGACTCAACATTTAATCAAAATTAATATTATTTAATCAAAATACTACTATAAATCCTAAACTCATTAGTTTGTTTTTAAACTATATTTGAATAAGAAACAAATGCAATAACTCTCTTATATTCATTTCTGTATATTGATAGGACAATAGTAATATTTGAAAGGATGAAATTATCCTCTATAATTCATTAAGAGAATAATATTAGAAGAAATTCAAATTAAGAATAGAAAATATGTAGTTTATTGGTAATTAAGCATCATATCTATTCCATTAATGTAATGATAAATTTATAAAAAGCAAGACAGGAGATTCCTAGAATAACTCTTGAGATTAATATAGAAATGATTTAAAGTGTATGTTTTGCAAGTAAATTCGTATGAAATTTTAACTAAAAGTACAATTTAATAAATTATGCAGTAACCTTAGATATAAAATCAAAAATTGAATAACACTTAAAATTCCAAAGATAAATCTAATTTGAATTACAAATCAAACTCAAAATGTAATTATTAAAAGACTAAATGAACTTGAGATTATATTTTCTACAGTAAAAAAAACACATGCTAATAAGAAAATGACTCTTTATGAACAGTTCTAAACTTTTTGACAGTAATTAAATCAATATAAAAATAAAGATGTTTATAATAAATTTCAATATGATTAATTTTTATAAATGATCACTTCCTTCTTATATATCATTATTCTTTACCCAATCCTTAACTTTGATCACTTCAAGACTAGAATAGTCACAAAATAATTAAATAATAACAACTAATTTAAATAAAGTCAAAGTTATCTAATTATTTATTTAGCTAAATGTCTGATCGATCTAGAACCACAAGTTTTCAAAAATAGCAGATCTTAGCAAACATTCAAAATAAATTTTAGAAGATTGACCCCAGTTTCTAAATCAAAAACTTTATTGGGGAAAGCACAAACTTAGTCGGCTAATAAATCAAGAAATGGGAAAAATAGAGCAGAGAAAGAACAATTAAAGAGTAGTAGGTCATGAAAGCAATCAAATCTTTGCGTCATCCTTTGGTCCTTGAAAGTTATATAGAAAAACCGATCTTTATGGAGTCAACTAAGCCTGAAACACCATATGAAGTGGAAGCTCCATAATAATTTTCGTAAAGTCCAAAAAATGAACATACAAACGAATATCTCATGATAAAATCAACTAAGAAACCTTTGAGTCCACTCAAGTATTTTAATGTTAATTAAGGAAGCTCTTTGAGCAATATTCTGAATTAGTTTAAGAGTAATTTCAGAATTCTTCTGAGGAGATGAAAAAGTTAATTTAATAGTATTCAAATTCAGAAAAGACTATAGTCCCTTTGAAACAGAAGACAAAAAATTGTGAATATTTTACACCTAGATAAATTTCAGTACCCAAGCGAAATTTATAGAATNGTAATATTTGAAAGGATGAAATTATCCTCTATAATTCATTAAGAGAATAATATTAGAAGAAATTCAAATTAAGAATAGAAAATATGTAGTTTATTGGTAATTAAGCATCATATCTATTCCATTAATGTAATGATAAATTTATAAAAAGCAAGACAGGAGATTCCTAGAATAACTCTTGAGATTAATATAGAAATGATTTAAAGTGTATGTTTTGCAAGTAAATTCGTATGAAATTTTAACTAAAAGTACAATTTAATAAATTATGCAGTAACCTTAGATATAAAATCAAAAATTGAATAACACTTAAAATTCCAAAGATAAATCTAATTTGAATTACAAATCAAACTCAAAATGTAATTATTAAAAGACTAAATGAACTTGAGATTATATTTTCTACAGTAAAAAAAACACATGCTAATAAGAAAATGACTCTTTATGAACAGTTCTAAACTTTTTGACAGTAATTAAATCAATATAAAAATAAAGATGTTTATAATAAATTTCAATATGATTAATTTTTATAAATGATCACTTCCTTCTTATATATCATTATTCTTTACCCAATCCTTAACTTTGATCACTTCAAGACTAGAATAGTCACAAAATAATTAAATAATAACAACTAATTTAAATAAAGTCAAAGTTATCTAATTATTTATTTAGCTAAATGTCTGATCGATCTAGAACCACAAGTTTTCAAAAATAGCAGATCTTAGCAAACATTCAAAATAAATTTTAGAAGATTGACCCCAGTTTCTAAATCAAAAACTTTATTGGGGAAAGCACAAACTTAGTCGGCTAATAAATCAAGAAATGGGAAAAATAGAGCAGAGAAAGAACAATTAAAGAGTAGTAGGTCATGAAAGCAATCAAATCTTTGCGTCATCCTTTGGTCCTTGAAAGTTATATAGAAAAACCGATCTTTATGGAGTCAACTAAGCCTGAAACACCATATGAAGTGGAAGCTCCATAATAATTTTCGTAAAGTCCAAAAAATGAACATACAAACGAATATCTCATGATAAAATCAACTAAGAAACCTTTGAGTCCACTCAAGTATTTTAATGTTAATTAAGGAAGCTCTTTGAGCAATATTCTGAATTAGTTTAAGAGTAATTTCAGAATTCTTCTGAGGAGATGAAAAAGTTAATTTAATAGTATTCAAATTCAGAAAAGACTATAGTCCCTTTGAAACAGAAGACAAAAAATTGTGAATATTTTACACCTAGATAAATTTCAGTACCCAAGCGAAATTTATAGAATAGTTCATCTTATAAATAAATTGGAAGTCCTTTTCATAGGAAAAGAGAATATTTAGTATAAAAAAATAACAATAATTTATAAAAACTGGATGACTTACAAAGTGATTTAGACAATTTTAGGAAGTATTTAAAAGAAATAAAGAAATCAAACTAATAGTAATTTCATAAGAGATAATTTTTAAAAGGCAAACTCGATTTTTTATTATGATAATTATTAATAAGTTGGTATTTATATGAGCAAGATTATCATATTAAAATAATATTAAAATAATTGAATTAATTTGTGAAAATTAAGTTATTACACAATAAAAGGCTAATTAGTTTTTTGTTAAAGAGTTTCTATAACTTATTTAAGCGTCTAATTAGCTGAAATCAAATGCTCAGAGTCAGCTCATCAATCATTTATGATTTTTGAGTGTTACGAGTAGCATACATACTTAATAAAAACTTATTCATATATATATATATATTAAATTAATATATTAATGTAAAAAATTGATAACTTTCAAATGTAGCTTCAATAGACTGTCTAACTGGGATAGATTTTTGAAAAATTAGAAAGTCTAAGAAAAATTGTAAGAATTTTTGAGCCAATCTAATTTAGTTTTCAGAATTAATATTAAGTCCATTAAATGATAATGAGAAGCTAACTATATATAATGATATCAATGTTATTTTAACTAGCTTGTATGAGTAGAAAAATGGTACAATTGAAGAAAAAGAACAAATTAAGAATTTAATGGACATAATGATGAATAATCTAGAAGTGTAAGAATTCATGTTTAGAATTGCTGACGAAGAATGTAATTATAAAATGTCATATGTAGCTAATTAAATTTAAGAAGTTAGAAGCTTAAGTATTAATTATAAAGCATCTAGAATTGGTCGTGAATTTATAACATAGAAGGCTGAGTAATTATAATAAAAATCTGGTGAGAATTAGATACTCACTTTAAATGTGGATGTTTGTGAGGATTAATAGATAGAATTTTACGATAATAATAATTACTTATAATAATCAAAAGAAGAATAGTCCTTAATTTAATCCCCACCTTCAAAAATATATCATGAAATAGCACAAGATGAATTGTCAGAATTGATTAATAGAAGTAAATACGAATTTGATTAAACCAAAATTGATTAAGTAAATATCTATATAAATCAAGGCTTATGAATATGCAAAGTTGGCTTAAGATAAATTTTAATCTAGTTTCGCGTACTAATAACATGCTGAATATGTAGATTAAATAATTGTGTAATACAATTATATGATTGAGAATGTGAAAGAATTAGATTCAGATGGCTGGTTATTTGATGGTCTGAGTAATGGAATTTCTGTCAAATATAAATTTCCAGAAAACACTTCCACTGCCTCGATGCTCATGGAAACAAAAATACCAGTAAATGCAATAAGAGTGTTGGCATTAGTAAATGAAATGGAATTGAATCATTTATGGGTTCCCTTTTGCAAGAGGTCCTATGTTAATAAAGTATTGAATCGAGCCTGCAAGGTTTGCACCTCAGAAATGTATTTCCCTTTGATTCCAGATCGGGAATGCGTTTTTGTAGGGGAAGGTTATGATAGATTGTAAGTTAATGGAACAATTACTCTATTATCGAGATCAGTGGATGGTGATAAAGAATTTTTAGAAAAGAATGGAATTTTTATTCCAGAGAAATCTAAATTTGTTAGGATGTATATCAAATATTACATTTTTGAAATTACTCCTATTGATAAGGATTCGTGTTCAATAAGAGCTTGCACAAATGTGAATCCAAAAATTTCTATGGTTCCCAATAGTGTCTTAGCTTATGTTGGAAGAAAAGTAAATTTAATGTTATTGTTTATTAGTTTGCTCATATTTTGATATCAAAAATAGTGAATTATGCAAAAACTTTTGAAAAATCTCCTTTCTACCCTGTTTATTAAGAACATATAGAGTTCTATAATTGGTTAGAAGAGAAGCTAAAAACTCATCTTAAATATTGAGTATTAATTTGTACTATGTAATATTTATGTTTTATCTAATAAATGTAATATTTTATTTTTTTTTATCTAATAAATCAAGCCAATTGTTTTTAAGCTGATTATTTTAATTGCTTAATGATTGGAGCCACTAATTTTTTTCTATCAAAAGCTTCTTGAGTCAATTTAATTTATTCGTCAGTCAATGCTAATCTATGTCTTCCAATTTGTTTTTCCATTGTGTTAAAAAATCCTTCAGATCCATAATCGCTTAATGCAACTTATTAAGTCATACTGACTAAGTCATTCAAAGGAATATATCTTTATTAAATGTATTTCAGCAATACCTATATAAACGATCAGCCACGATTTTTTTTTCAAATAATTACCAAAGGGAGGCATCTTTCACATTTATTTTACCACAAGTTCCAATAATGGTTGCAAATGAAACGGAATGATCTCTTGTTAAATTTGGAACGAATTCCTTTAATGCTGGTACAACATATTCATAGAAATCTTCATCTGCATCCAAATTCAATTCATTGATTCTAATTAAATATTAAATACTAGCATCATACCTTTGAAATGCATATGCTACTTGATGATCAGTTATCTTTTCAAGATTTTCTCTTATTAAAACTCCAAATTATCTATTTGAGTAGGCTCCTAATAAGGCATTAGACAATCTTTAGTAAGCAAATGGATTCACATCCCAAATTGTTGGAATTTTTCCTTAATTTTAAATTCTATATTACTTGCTTGTGATAAATAAAATCTGATTGTAGCTTTTTAGAGCATTTTTTAATTATTAATATTTATTTTTATAATACTCATTATTGTTATGTAGCCAAAACTATGTTGGCCTTCTTCTATTCATTGGCTTCAATTGAGACCTTTTACAATTATGATCTTAATGCATCAATTTCATTGAACGCATTTACCAAAGTTAAACTTAAAGCCTGTTCCTTTTATTCTAATTCCTTTTGTTTTGACAATTATCCCTACAATTTATCTATTTCCTATTTTAATCTTAACAATATATAAATACATCTTAGGATTCTTCAAATAACTTATGCACTTGTTCTAATTCTTTAGTTAAACCTTGCTTCTACTCTTCTGAAATATTCAATTTATTTCCTTAAGCATCATATTTAACTCTCATTCTCTCTATTTCACTTGACAATAAAGCAACTTTGTTTTCTAATTAGTACTATGATACAATATAATTAAATTATACTTTTTCCTCTTGTAATTTCTCTATCTTCTTCTTCAATTCCTCTATTAATTAGTCGTAATTTTAATTGTTTTTCACTTGAGTATTGAGTTTCTCAATTTAATTTTTCAAATCTGCAATCTATACCTATTGCTGAGTCAATTCAATTTATAATTTTTGGGATCTAAATTAATCATAATAAATTAATACTCTGCAACTTAGTCGTTGTTTTTATCTCTTAATTCTTCAATTAGATCTTAGAATTTTTGAATATCATTCTCTTATCCTGCAATTACATTTTATAATTCAGCAATTTGAGTATTTTAAGCTTCTAGATTCTTATTAGAACTTTGAAGTTATTAATATTTTTGTTCCAATTATTTGTAGGATTCATCCTTTTACTTGTTTTCTTACTCCTTTTAATCTAATTGTTATTTAAGCTTATTATTATCCAAAATGTATTATTTTGTTTCATCTTAACTAACTCTTAATAGATGTTCTAAATTCTTATTGGCTTCATCAATTAGTTGTTATTCGAGATGAGAAATTTTATCCGCCAGCACTTAATTATCCGATTCAAATTATTTCAATAAAGCAATTTAAGTTTCCAATTCTACGATTTGTTTCTTTAATTACTCAGCCTCATTTTATCTGCTATTTAATTTATACTAAAATCTTTCAACTTCTGTTGATAACATAGCTATTTTATTTTCTAAATCATTTTTCACTTTTAAGGCATCATTTAATTGCTTATTTAGTGTCTCATTAGCTTATAATTCATTATTATAATCTTGTTAAAGTTTTTGTAGTCCCTCATCCAAAATTTAGATCTTGTTTGGTAATTCGCTCAGTTAAGAAATACGAGTAGATAGTTGAGAATTGTCAACATATAATTTCTCATTCTCTTTACTCAATTCATTGAATTAGCTGGTTTAGTCTTTTAATTATTTCTATAGAGCCTAAATGAGTTATTCTTACTATTTATTTATGGCACTCTATTAAGCTACTTATTGGGCTATGACTCTGAGTTGATCGACTCTAAAAACATTAATTTTATATTTTACTCTTTTTCAAGTTATGATAATTAAAGTAAATAGGAAGTCAATAATTAATCAACTTTATTTTTCTCATTCAAATTGCAATTGGACTAAGCTTCAGCAGTAGTCAATTTTGTATTTAATTGAATGACTTAATTTTCTAAGATTTGTAATTTCTCTTACAAACCTTTGTTCTCTGTTTCCTATTCTCTCAATTCAGCAATTAATTAGGAGTTCTAAAACTTAAGATCAGGGATTGTTTTATCATTTTCTAAATCATAAATCTTCTTATTTGCATCTGACAGCTCTTAAGTTTTGGTCTACAATAAAGAATTCAATCTTTAAATGTCTTGAACTTGTGAATTATTCTTGGATTCCAAATTGAATGCTTAACTTTAGAATTTAGAATTATCTTGGCTCAATTATAGTAGTTTTTACTGTAATTCATTAACTAATTTTGCTTGATCCTATAATCCTGAATAATCCTTAGCCTACAATCTCTTAAAGTCAGATTGAGCATTAGTTAATTGTTTTTATAAGTCATTTATTCTTCCATGTAAATCTGAGATTGTTTATTCTTTCTATTTAAGATTACCTTAAAGTTTGCTTAATTCAGTTTTGAGTTAAATAACCTCATTTTCAGCAGCATTTCTTGCTTAATCATTAAGTCTCAATTATTCTATTTAAGATAACAATGATGAAACCTTGTCTTACAATTATCCAATATCTTCATTTTTTTATTTTAATGATTTGTTTAAGGTTTCTCTCTCTTATTATAGTAATTAGAGTCTATTTTCTAAGTTATATAATTCATTGAGTTATTATTCAGCAATCTATAATTTACTTAAAGTAGTATAATATTATTTTCTAAATTAATCTAGTTCTCTTTTAGTTTAATCAAGTTGATCCTTTAATTTTTGATTATCTAATTTCAAGTAACTAATATTTTTTAATTCGCACTCTTACTAAGTAATCCTATAATAAAGATATGATAATACTTTAATTTAAGTTCATTATTCAATTTAATCCTGCCTTCTAATTCCTACTTCAATTTATCGTATTACTTCTCTGAGAATCCTAGTCTATCCTCTAGATCAGATATGGTTGCTTAGTTTTATAAAAGCTATGATTATAATTATTAAGTATTATTAGTCGTTTCTGAGGTAGTGACAACTCTTCTTTCAATGACTTCACTAACCTATTATTAGGATGATTTAATTGATCCTGATAACGGATTATTTTACTCAAATTATCTGATGATTTCTAAAAGTTTGACTCTTTCCTATTATTAATCCTCATACAACTTTTTCCAAACGTCTAAATCCTTTGTCAAACTGTTTACTTAAGCCTTGTAATCTCTTATAACTAATTCATTTCCTTCTAATTCGATTACTCTACCATAGATTTCTGAGTTTTTCTTTCTTAATAACTCAATATCTTAGGACTTTTATTCCAGAAGATCATTGAATTTGGTTACCTACAATCTAACTGTATTTAACTCAAAATTTTCATTTTCCAATTGTGTCAATCTCACTCTCATTTTTTCGCATTCTGTAGCCTTTTCTCTAAGTAAGGCTGATATTTGTGAATTGTCCTATCTCAATAGATTGATTCTATCTTCTAATTAGACTGACTAAAGTTAATAACTAAATCCTTACTTTTTCAGCAGCATATCGACACTTATCGTATAATGATTCAAGCTCAAAATACTTCTTTCTCCACATGCTATGATCTTTTTCCATGTTATAAATTTGTGCCTCCAATTGCTCCACTCTGTCATCTTCCTTGTGCTCCATAACCACTTGCTTATAAACAGCATTCATTGGAATTCCTTATGGTAAAGACATTGAAAGATATTTATTAAATTATATATCAATATAATAAATAAATCACGCTAAATTCTAATTTATTAATTATTATTATTACCTATAATTTATTGGTACATATAAACAGCAAATCAAAAGTGTAATTTTTAACATTAGTTTATCATAACAATTAGATTAATATAAGCACAAATTCAACCTGCCGGAATTTATATTATTATGATAACATCAATTATTAAATTTCCAAGCTTAAAAGCTATCAATTTATTTATTGATATATTTTAAACTTAACTAATTATAAACGATTTGTTACTTAATTGTTTAATATAATTAGTAAGAAATAACAATAATTGATAAACAGATCTGAATGTTAAACATTAATCTAAATTTAGATAGTTTATAAAATTTATAGTAAATTTAACAATTATATAGTTAAAGAATGGAATTAGATACCAATACAATTTTCATATAAGGAGATAATATTGAATATTTCAGTTCTCAGCTAGTATAAGTAACACACAATTTTAAGAAAAAAAAATAGAATGACAAAGGAATCCCAGTAAATTTAAATTTGAATAGGCATAGAGACAAGAAAAGGAACTATTGAATAGATTGTGCACAAAAATAGAAGAATAAGTCAATAAATTATAAATTAAATATGATGAATAAATAATGGCATTAATAAATATATCTAAATAATAATGAATCCAAACTCATTCAAGCTCTACAAATCAATTTGTTCTGCAGTGACATCGACTGGCTTGACATTCACCAACTTTACAAATAAATCATTTCTTGGGAGATCAGTTTAATATTTAGAGTATATGAATATCGATATTATGTTAGCCACTTGATTTACACAAAGGCTCCAAGATTATCATACATTGAGCATTACGCTCCAGTATATACACCCAAACGAGTCACTTATGCTGCCCCAATCTGTTTGGCTTTAGCTGGCACTGTATTAATAGCTGAAGTAAGAAAATAATAATAAATAATTGATAGATTGCTTGGACCAACAATGCCAAAGAATAAGCAAATAATTATTTTGTTGCAACAAGAGAATGAAATATATTATTTAGAAATAATAAAATAAAATAATGAAATTTAAGCTTCTTTTTGTGATAATGGTTCTGTGTAGCTCTTAAGATATGCCAGATTTGGAATTCCCAAAATAGACACCTGTGATTATGCTAAATGACAATAATTGGGATGCTATTACTCATTTAGGCAATGAAGGATTAGAAAAGCCATGGTTTATATTCTTTTGGGCTCCCTGGTGTAAAGGTTGCCATAGAATAGTTAAGATTTGGGAAGAAATGGTAACTATTTATAATGGTACAATAAATATTGGTGCAATCGACACGTATCATTAATCCTTAATAAAGATATAATCAAGAACTTATCGGTGATAGGATTGGTGTAACCAAATATCCAACCTTTGTTTTTTTCGATACTGACAATAGGATGTATTTCTACAACGGTAAAATCTCAATTAAATCGATAGAATCTACTAATATCGGCAATTTCACTCAATTTGTTGATGAAAAGAAATATCTGCATCTAGAACCTTATGACACTCCTAAGGAAATTGATCACTTCAAAAAATGGCTAAGAAGAATATTCTCATTGAAAATGGTATTGCATTCACACTATTACATAGGTTCCTGTATATGTTGTTGTGGCCTTCATAGTGGTTTTGACATCTTTATGCATTTACGGGAATAAGTAAGAAAAGAAGGATAAATCAGAAGCAAAAAGAGTAAAGTTAGAGTTGTTTAGAAAATCATTAGAGCAACAGGAGAGGGAGGAGTACCTCAAGAAAAAGAGGGATTGATTTGTTAATAGGTTAATATATTTTAGTTAATAAGTCTTTCTTTCTAAGGCAATTCACCTTCTCTCTCGATTTTTTTAATCTAATATTCAAAATTAAATTTAACTGAGTATGTTTCATTAAATTAATTGCTCAAATATAAATATTTAAATGGAATTTGAAAATGACAACACCTGTACGGAGGAAAACCTACTATCTGGGATATCAGAATAAACACCATCCAAAGATGATCCTTACATGCACTATCCAGATTCATTTCAAGTTTCACCCTCCTTTTAATAATCATAACAAAAGCAATAAGAAATAAATACTATCAAAGAAGAATACATATCAATCATCAATTATGCAGATCAACAATATAAAAACAATGAACCAAGTTTTAGTTTGAACAATTAAAGTGTCAAACAAGATTTTTGCTATTTCCAGCAAATTAAAGACACCCTAGCAAAACTAGAATTGGATCTTAATAATTAGTCTTTTCATGATAACTTCAGTGATATAAAATCAAATCTTCAAGAATTATAGGAAAAATATCACTAATTTGTCATCGATGCGTCAGACTAGATTGTTGAATTCTAAAACCAGCAAGTGCCTTTTAGTAGCGGGGGTAAACATAAGAGAACCAGATCTGAGGCTCCTCCATCAATTACTCGATTTAATGTAAAACCAAAAAAAAATGAGACTTCGAATTTAATTGAAAAATCATTTGATACCAATATATTTCAAAAATAAAGTGAGGAGTACTCTTTGCTCTTAGATATTATCAAATAGGATATAGAAAACATCGAAAACACTAAATTTCAAGAGCATGATTAAAGCATGGAATTAATTGTCCATTATTATAAATTAAGAGAGATGCATTAAAATATCATTTAAAATCTCTAAGACACTAATGCTTAGTTGAATTTCACGTTACAGGAATATTAACAAAACTTTGATGATCTGGCTTCGAACTTTACATTTGATATTAAAAATTTTAATGACCAATCCAAAGTTGAATAAGTGTCTCTAGTGATTCAGAAAATACAAGAGATAATTCAATAAAACTAATAATATGAATAAGACCTAATTATTCAATAACAGCAATTATAAGAATAATAGGAACTATAAAGCTAATAAGTTAAGAAAATTGAAGAACAATAGGAAGTATAAAGTTAATAAATTAAGAAAATTGAAGAATAATAAAATTCTTATGATAGTCTATTAGAGTAGTTCTAATTGCTTTAATAAGAAAAAGAAAACTAGGATGATGTTATTGATTCACTAAAATAGCAAATATAAGTATTACAATAAAAATCTGAAGCTGACTAAATTAATACTCTGTGTTAAAATTTAAGAGAATTAATTAAATATGTACAGGATTTCATCATTCTGTCAAATAAATTACTTTAGCATATTTATAATTAATCGGGAGCCAAATTACAATTTCCAGATAACAAACACGTGAGTGAGGTATCAATGACTCTTTAAACTTTATTATAAAATTAAGATTCTAATAGCTTTAAGAAGATAAACGAAAATTTAAATGTATATTCAAAAGAAATAGGAGTAATAATAAATTAAATTTGTCAAAAATACTAATGCTTGGTTGATTAGATTATAAGAGAAAGAAAGCAATTAATGGAGTCACTGTAAATATGAATATGATAGATATAATATATATATATATATTTTAAAATACTCTCATTAATCAACTTCCTCATTGTTTTTCTATCTTCTTTATGGGTTGTTGTCATAATTTCTGTTATTATTTCTATTGTCATAATTTCTCTATCCTCCTCTCTATGGTTTTTATGGTTTTCTAAATGGAATAAAAGTAAATAATACTTGCTTTTAACAGTTATGTAATCATCTTCTTCTTGTTATTACTCTTCTTAATTTTAAGGAGGTTGTCTGTCCACTTTTTCTTCCCAAATTTGTTCTTATTGATAATTTCTGTCTCTATTGTGATAATGTTATTTGTTTCCTCTGTATGGTCTGTCATAGTTGTTTCTTCTATCATAATTATTATTATTATAATTCTTCTTGTAATTTCTTCTGTCATCGTGATGTTAATGATGTCTTTGCCCTTCCCTAGTTTAAGGTTATTGATCTTGGTTGGATTATTGGACTTAATTTGAATTGTCATCTTAGGGTTATTCATTCTATGGTTGTTATTCACTGAATTATTATTGTTCTTCAGTTTCTTGGACTTCAGGTTGTTCAATTGGTTTCGATTAAACTTAGACTTCTTCTGATGGTGTTTATTTTGATTAGACATGTTATTCTTATGGTTAGATTACCTGTTGAACTTATTATTGAATGTGTTCTGTTTCATGTAATTATTAGGTTTGTTTAGGTTCATGTTCTTTTTCCAATTCTTGTGTATGGGTTTCAAACTATAGATAGTTATAATTTAAATACTTTCAATCCTTTCCAGGGTTGATCTGCTTTGGCTGATTATCCAACAATTTTAGATTACAATTTTTTAGCTAGTTCGTGGGTTGATTCATGATCTTAAGTTAAAAGAGCGACTAATTGGGGATCTTGGGCGAGATGTTGAAGGATTATTATGTATGCTTCAATTGTGATTATAGATCCTTATTGTTCGGCTTCTTTCTTGGCGGTGAGCCAATTCGAGAGGGTACCTTCTAATTCTTTGATTCTTTCATTGTTTTCTTCTTTGCCTTGAATCTTCTAGATCTATTCTTGTTTCAATTCTTTAGTTTTTTGTAATTCCTCAAGGTCAGCGATGTCTTTGAGTTTCTTCTAAAGATTCCTGTATTTTTTAGCCAAAAAGTTGAAATAGAAGTCCTTTTCTTCGTTTTTGACTTGATCCCATATTGACTTGTTCTTTTATTATTTACCTCCTTTCATTATGTATTTTTTTGAAAAATATTTAAAAATTACCAATGAATACTAATGAGCATATAAATTATTTTATAGAATTAATAGAGCATTCTACTTTCTCAGCAGGAATACAACACATGGCAATTAAAGATAATAATATATAATGATGATCTCAATTCAAATATTAAGGCAATTGGAATGATTTGCACAAATCATTAGCATACATAATTAATTATTGATTTTCTGATTAGTTTGAATATTGCTTTAACATATCCAATAGGCTGATGAGAAGAGGACTGGTGAGTATTTTTTAGGACATATTCTCTTATCCCTTTACTTGCTTATAATAGGACACGCAATCCAGTAGACAAGTCACACAAAGACGAATGTATTCCTACGATTATCAAAAATAAGCAATACCACAGTGGGTGTCAATGATTTGTCGGATGTAGCTTAAATGAACACGCACAATTCTTGTATGGTTTGATAAAGAGGTATGTAGGGTACTTTGTTTAAGTTGAATGCATGTAACATGCATAAATAACAATTTAAGAGGGCATCATTAAGATTTTCATAATATTCTAATTGTGCCATGTCCTTATTCTAGGTGAAGTAGATCGAAGCGCTGAATCCACTCTTGACTAATTGCCAAATGGCCTAAAAGTAGGGCTCAGCATCTTGTTCTGCTATCAGAACTATGTCAGCTATGCAAACAAACAAGGCAATCTTGGCCACTCGGTTCACTTATTAGTCCTACGGAATAATACACAATCAATTACATTGACACAAGCAATTAGATACTCTAGAATGCGTAAGTATTTACTGAACTCTTTAAATTGAAGGGATCTGGCAATGTCAGCCAAACACAAAATGGCTCCTTTGAATGTTTCTATTTCTAATTTCTTTTACAAACCAATTTCCAAGTAATTTTTCATGAAATCATCTAGTAGTGATTTAAAATTAATCTTGCTGTCTATATCATATATTTATATTTAATTACATTGAGCAATAGCACTAATGGCATAGAAACCATCTTAAGTGACAGTTTAGATCTTTTTAAAGTAGTCAACTATAAGTTGGTAGAAGTTATTCATCAATTGGATATCACATTGATCACCTAACACCACTAATCTTAAGAAACAAATGTGAATTGCTGATAGTAACCCAGAAATATTGGCTTCCTTTTACCATCTCATTTATGAATAGACAGTAAGCATTTATTGGCCAAAAGCTTCTAAATATGTCTTGATCTTTTAGGGCTCTTTTATACATTGTAAACAATTTATGATGCCTACCCAAGCTATGTCTAATAGAGTTCCATCCGAAAAATCTTATCTCCCTATCACTGTTGCAAATTAGGAAATGAGAAATTCATAATACTTGCCAAATTAATTTACTGGATCATCTCTGAAGGCTTCTGTGAGGTTAACAAGAGTCCATAACAAATATTTTGTCAGTTTATTATTTCCTTACAAAAATTATGAAAATTAATTAATGTATTCATCAGCATATTGATGCTTCAGAATAACTTATGGGTAATTCTCAGCAATTCTTGTGATCACTCTACCAGCAGCATATCTCACCTATTTGTGAGGATCAGCCAATTTCTTGATAAATTCGCCTATTGCTGAATTAGAATATTAGAATAATTCTAAAACATCAGCTGTCTCAACCATTGAAGAAAACGTCAATAAAGAAGCCTTTCTATTCTGCCATTCTTGTGCTTGAAGCGTATCTAAAATATATTTTGATAATTCAATTACTCTCAATAAATCTCAAATATAGTTGATAACAAAGACTTCCCAAAGCCTCGCTGATTGAAGAAGCTGCCTTATATGCTGCCTCTTAAATTCCTTACTCTTCATCATCCTCCTCGTCCTCATCAGAGATAAGCAAGTTTTGAAGAACCGCCACAATCAATTGCTATGATATTATTTGCAATGCATCCTTTTAAGTTTTTCTGAATCCCATATTCGTCCTATTGCTTACAGCAGATCTCTCATTTATTTCAGATGCAACGCTTTACCATATTTCCATAGTCACAATTGCGAAATCCTAATGAAGAATACTCTCTTGGGTGCAATTCCATAAAACCAAAATATATTATTCTTAATTTTATATTAGAATTCTTACCTAAATAATCGAATATTGCTTTGGTGTAGTCAATCAAGCATTCTAATGCTGCCAATCTTATTTCAGCATCTTGAGATATCAACTATTCAGCTAACAACTTAGTCACATGATCTCTGACCTATTGTTGTGCCAATACTTGATCCATAAATTGCAAGCTGTCCTTCAGTGCTCTGATTGATATCAACTTGATTTCCTTCTCTCCTTGCAATCCCATGCATATTCCATACAACACTTTTTCACTCTCCGTCTTCTCTATTGATTACTTCTGGTTTTTCAAGGCCTCACAAATATAACCAAGAGTTATAGTTGCCGCTTTTTTCACTTCTATTGAATCATGTCTAGTATTCTATACTAAAATGCTGATGATTTCAGGCCACTCCTGTCTTGGCAATTCTATTGCACATATTCCTGATAAGCACTATATTGTTATTATGGAATAATTACGCTTGCTGCTGACTTTTTTATATTTTAATCACTCGAAATTAGTTGAGAAAGCAACTCGTCTTTGATTTTTCTCTTCACATCCAACCCAATTGTTAACCATCCTTACTCATAAGTTATACATCTCTATAGTAATGTTCCTGCTGCTACTCTGGTCTGAGAATCCAATTAAGTAGATATAAATGCATTGCTGCACTTCTAAAAAAACTCATTTGGTAATTAATGCTTCAAATTCACAAGCTACTACTCTGCTTAACTACGCTAATTGTTTTCTTTGGCGAAAAATGCTGCCTAAATTAATTCGACAAATTCTTGCATTATTTTAAACACTTTAAATACTTCAATTTATTTTTTAAATTCAATTACTTATATACTAGTATTGAGAATAATAGAAAACATATTTTGTTATACTATCATACACTATCATTATATCATTTATAAATGTCCCCCTAAAACACATCAGCACCTTGGCTTATCCCTCTGAATAATTATTTTCAACCTTACACAAGCACTTATTCTATTCTACTGCCAAAAAATTGTACTTCTTCACATTATACATCCATAAATAATAAAATTGAATCGGAAATCAAAATAGTATTGAAATACTAGCTACTTGGCTTTTAAAACCTCTGAATTAAAATTGTTAATTTCTTGATTATAAATTATAACAAAAATATTAAACAAACTTTCAAAATAAAGAAATCATTGCTTGATCTCTATAAAATAAATAGGATTCCTTAATTTAATAATATTCGCTTTTAAGAAACTATATTGTGTAATCGATTTTTTTATAATTTCGACTTGATAATAATTAATAATTAATAAACCTAGATAAATTTGCATGCTTGATTTAAGTAGTCTTAAAAAATTGTTAATAATAAATTTACCTTCTTTTTTTATGGGTTTTACTCATTTTAAGGAGACTCGTATATTCCTAATCGCCACTTTAGAAGATGTTCAAATATTACTCTATCTTTAGAGTAATCTATTTTTTTTCTATTTAATTCATCATTGTAAGTGATTATGAAAAATAATACGAAGTGGGTGATAATTTAATTAATAATTTTTCTTCCAATTACCTTTTTTCAAACTTTGAGCAAGATTTTCATAAACAGCTCCGCATTTTTTGTTTACTAAGAACTTTAATCAAGGTGACGATCATTTCAATTCAAATTACAAGCGTAAATTTATATGACTCAAAATGATGATAACATAACTTATTTAATTCTCTCGATATAATAAGAATATCCTTTCAAATTCTAAACTATACCTATCAGCCATCACTTAGATCAAATTTGACATATAATTCTTATTGATTACATTTGGTTATAAGAATCTGTGATTTAAAAATAAAAGAAAAGAATGACACTTATAAGGTAAGAATAACCATGTTTAACTAAATAGTTTAGTATAATTATGCTACTATTTGGCTGATCATTTTATATTGTTTAACTTAAACTCTAGACTCATGGAAATTTAATTATAATAATAATCTAATGATTTTATGATAATTCTAAATTAATTTCATATTATATGTGAGTTATACTCATTCAATGTTGGAGAGGTTTGGGTGAATGCTTAATTTTAATCTTATATTAAAGATCACTAATCATTCTTATAATTCATGGATATTAAAATTCTTTAGATGTAAGGCAAACTGAAAATTAAATACAATTAATTCACAAAAGAATAATAGCCGTAAATTTCTGATGATTGTTTTAGTTGATGGTATTCTGGAACTCTTAAAAAATTTAGAATATCAAAAAGTTCAAAATAAACACCTTAAGATATTAAGGTTTATAATTAGTATAAAAATAATTCATAGTAATTATTTTTTCGGTTTTTTAAAATAAATAAAATTTCAGTACAATTTTTTTGTTTAAAGAAGCTTGGCATCTCTCGTCTAAGGGAGATAGAACCCCTTTAATTACTAGAAAATTCTTCTAGCAATACCTTTTATTCAAATGGCATCATAGAAGAATGATATAATAAAAAATATAATTCTAATTGGATTTGAAAAAATTCAAACTTAACTATTAATGAGGAAATTTCCTTATTTTAGCTTTTAATCTTATCTTTTATTACTTTTACTTATTATCATCATACTATTGAGCATTAAGCAAATAATGTTGGAATAAATATTTAATCGAAGTATAATTAAACAAATATCTGATGCAATATTGATATACTAGTATTGTTACATTTACATTAATCTAATGTTACTTGCGCTTAATTGATATTTCAGATATTCTCCGACATCAAAACATTAATAAAATATATTTTTATGGAACTCGAATAAAAGTAATAACCAGTTAATTTAAAAGACCTTAATCTTTCTCGAATATCTTAGTCAAGCATTAATATAGATCCATAAGAGGATTACTATGGAGGCTATTCAGGAAGATCATTAGAATTGAACATTAGAGAATATCAAGAAGTTAATGAATTTAAAAAAAAAAATCTCCAAATTGAGTTATCAATAGTTGACTATTTGAGCTCATTGAATATCAAAATGAAAACAGACCCAAAAGCAAAGCAAGATAGATACTTTTCCAATTTAAGAAATTAAAGTAAGCGTAGAGCTTTCACTTAATTGGAAATTGAAAAAGACTTTTCTGATAATACTCCAGATATAATACTTAAAAGCTCATAGGTTTCAATTTAAATTAACACTCTACTGGAGAAACGAAAAACTTAAATAAGTTTTGCAAGCACAAATTAAAGTATTTAGAGTCAATAAGTGATATCATTATTATAATAAGAAAGAAATAAATTTTAAAAGTCATAACTTTTCGAATGTGAGGAGATGGATAGTGTTATTTCGAATAAATCACTTTATTGAATCAAATGATATTTATTATTTTTTGCTAAATCCCAGTCTTTTGAACTCAAAATACCTAAAATTATATTAAAATTTTAATTTTCTGTTTTTAGATTAATATCCAATAATCAAACTTTGTTTGAAGAAAAAATATACAAATATACATAAAAATTTCTTATTTGGGTTAATTCTTTGTATTACTAATAAAATTAATGGTAGGAAATATTAAAAAAATCAAAAATTAAAGCACCAAATAAAATGTAATAACTTAAATTGTTATAAATTTATATTTCATTGATTTATCAATTACAAATTACTTAGAGAAATAAAAGCCTAACTTCTCAAATCCTAGAATTAATATATAATCAAAATAACATAGTTACCCATCTACTTTAAATTAAACAAATTACATTAAGAAATTTGACGTTGAAATTTCTGAACTTGAAATTCAAACAAAATATTTTTATCAAAAATGATTGAGAATTAAAGAATTTAAAAAGTATTCAATATTCTGCATTAAAATAAAGGAATTTTGGGGATTAAATTCTAAAGAACAATAGAAGATGGATTAAAGTTGAATTAGATTAATTATCATAAAATTAATATAAAAGCATCCAGAATTATAATTATGGCACCGCCATAATTAAAGTTATAGCTAAGGCATTATGAGGCTTAAAATAGAACATAATAATGTAATAAAATTAAAAGAAAAGTTAGATCAAAATCAACGTCGTTTTAGTTTATATAATAACAACAAAATATTTGTTATTAATAAAATAATTATTATTGCTAAAAGTATTTTTTTATTGCTGATTTCTTCATTTTTTAGTATTTGCTGATTTTACATCAAAATCTCTTCTTGTTACTTTATTTCTAATTAATATGTTTTGATACCTTCTCTAAGTTATACAATTTGCTTAATATTTTATTAAGTTTACAAAGCTTCTGCTAAATTTTGATTTTCATCAAGAGTCTATTGAAAATCCTGCATTATTTCTTGTTATAATTTTTAATTGTTTGAAATTAATTTTAAAATCTCTATAAAGAAAAGCTATTACACCTGAAAATCAGGTATTTATATGTATTTATGAATAAATCACTTGAAGATCATTTTATTACAATTAAGAACTATTCCCTATTATTACAACAATTCTTGAGCAGAGAAATAAGGAACTCGCCCACTCATAATAATTATTTGAAATATGAAAATAAAATTGTTAAGAATACAATATTTACTAATCTTAGATCATCTTCTTTTTGCTTTTCCTGGCATACCTCCCATTCCTCCCATTTATTTCATTAAGTCTTATATTCCATCCATTTAACCCATTTACTTCATCATATTCATAACATTATCCATTCCTCCTAATTTCTAGAGCATGCTTGGATCAATAGCCCCTTTCATCTTTTACATCATTTATTGTGGATTTCTTTTGAGTTGTTCAAATTCATTTCCTCCTATAAAATTATTATTATCTTATACTTTTTCCTCCCAAATTAGTTTTGGCTAAATTTCCAACCACTTTAGACAATTTCTTATGTTCATCTAATAAGATGTGAACTTCTTCAATTGATGTACCTGATCCTTTAGCAATTCGAACAATTCTACAAAAATTTAAATTGCCTAAATTGATGAAATTAGGTACCTTCGCCATCCAATTCCTCGGCTGTCATAGAATTCATAATGCACAAAAACCTTTAAATTCTTTTAATTGATTCTTTCTCATTTCCTTTTGATAAAACCGAACTGCCCATTCCTGGAATAGCAGACATAAATTGATTTAATGATCCTAATTTAAGTACAGAATTGAATTATGTTTACAAATCCCTTATTGAAAACTTGCCCTCCTTTAATTTTTATATTAATTATGGTTGATCTCTCATATTCACAACATCCTTAACTGATTAAAATAATTTATTTATATCTCCTAATCCTAATAATCGTCTAACAAAAGAGGAGGCTTCAAAAGACTCCAGATCATCAAAATGTTCACCTTCTCCTATAAATACGATAGGAGATTCTGTAGCTGCTACTGCTGACAGAGCACCACCACCTTTTGCATGACCATCTAACTTTGTAATAATAACAGATCCAACATTAACAGCCTTCTTAAATGCCAAGGCTTAGTCAAAACAAGCTTAACCAATTGATGAATCCATAACAAAGACTATATCATCTGGCTTTACTGCAGCTTCTACTTACTTCATTTCTTCAAACAAGTCATTTTCCTATTTGTGTCTTCCTGATGTATCCACTATAATTATTTCAAAGGCTTCTTTCTTAAACACATTAACACCCTCTTATGCAATCTATACAGGATCAGCTTCAGTATACGATCTAGTTTCGATATTATTCATACCCATAAAATGGAACTCTGACTTTAGTGGCATTTTATTTTAATTAATCAAAAGCTCCTGCTCTGAATGTATCAGCACAAACTAAGGCTACTTTCCATCCTTTCTTTTAGTAATAATATGCGTATTTAGTACAAGTGGTTGTCTTACCAGAACCTTATAAACCAACAAACATGATAACATTTTATTTTCCTATTTATATTTTATTACAATTACCCTTCTTAGGTTAAAATGGTTTTCTATCACTCTCAAGCATTCTTGTTAATCCATCGACAACTGCTTTCTGAATCAATTTTTAATGATTAATATTCTCTTCCTCACATAGTTTGAATTCCATTTTAACATCTTCTCTTAGTTTTTTTATAAATTTGGCATTAACATCTGCTTTTAATAAAGCCATTGCTATTTCACCCAAAATTTAGTCTACTAGTGCCTCATCTACAACCGGGGCCTTATTAAGTTTTTACAGTGCTGCATTAATTGATTTTCCTAGTTCTGCAAGAACCATGTATATAAAAATATTATTATTAAAAAAATAGTTATCTGGACACGTAATTCGATAATAGTTTAATAATATATTCACTATTTGAATAATAGTTATAATTATATTAAGTCCTGCATAAACCATTGACTAATACTGAATTTCCTTATGAATTGAATGAAGGAGTTAGCATATTTAAATGTCTTAAAGCCAAACTATCCTAAACCATTCCTCTCATTAAGGTTTGAAAATAGTCATAAAATTTCAAAGCATTTTTGGCTACAATCATGTTAAAATCTCACTTTTTCATTATTAAAATCATTTTTGAAATTCCTAGTCTTAATTTGAATTTTAATTGTTTTCTTCAAGGACTAAAAATCTTTAAATAATTGAATTTCTTACCTAAAATTGATTATGAATTCTATATAATCTATGACCATATATGATTGGATCTTCGTTTCGTGTAAGTTTACTTAATCGTATCAATAGAACTAATTTGTTTTTGGGTACAAAATTTTGATTAATATATTCTTGTAATTTGTCTAATTCTACTTGACGATTTTACTACAGTCATTCAGAATGAGGTAAGACTTTCTTCTAAATTCTATCTTCAAGTTAGAGACAAAATAATTTTATATTTAATAATTGAAAGGGAAATTCTTTTTGGCTATTTAAGACTCTTCAGTTGAGGATTTGAAGTAAAACATCTGTTCTTTCAACTATTATAATAATACTATTATTTTATCATTATTCTTTATAATTTAAGTGTAGATTTCATCCGTTCTATAATAAGCATAATCAATCTTTTTTGTTTATTTACATTATTATTCTAAAACAAATCTTTTTAAATTCTTATCTGACATTTAATAGCATATGTTCATGATATTGCTTTCCATATTTACATTTTATATCCCTCGTTAAAACTTCTTTACCTTTTAAGTACGATATTAAAAGACTTTCCACCTCATTTTCAATCTTTCAATCAAATATTTGTTATAGAATTTTGTGATTGAACTTCTTTAAATTACATTCGATATTTCTTCAGATTCACTAGCCAAATAATACTATTATAAATTCTTCATCAGACTTTAGCATATTTACTTAATTTTGATTTGCAAAGTTCTTCTCTGCATTCTTTTAGTATTTCAATTATTACGGTTTCCTTTTTTGAATGATTTCAATCAATTCTTAGTTTTATAAATACATTGATTAAATGATATTTAAGTTGCATCAAACTTAGAATTGTTAGTTTCTATGATCATCGCATTCTACTAAAAATTAGCAATTGAAATGGCAATTTGGGGATTTGAGTGTAAAATGATGCTTGAATTCCTTAATTATTCTGCTAAATTAAAATATAATGAGAAATTTATTGTTAGTAGTTTACAAAATACTTTCAAGACAACAACTTTTTTGAGCATTAGATAATATAGATAGATTGCATTAATAGTTATATGATAAATATTAATTAGAGATATAATTAAATGCATTATCCAAATAGAAGGTTTTATGTATATACCATAAATGCATTTTTCAGAAGAAATCATCTAAATTAAATTATTAAGGTTCATCGAATTATTCGTCTTCATCAAAAATCATAAGTTGGACCAATCTGCGATTCAGACATTCCTCTTCTTTGTATTGATAGGAATCTTCCATATGGGTGGGTATAGTAAATTGTGTTCTTTGTTGAGCTTTGAGATTTTTCTTCTGAACTATTGGGGAGAAGGGATTGAACTTTTGATGATGAGATCTACAATAACACTATTTTTACCTGCACTGACTAGGTGATCGAGTTCCAATGACATCACTCATAGGTTTAAATATTTTGTTGTTTTTCTTGATATGTGCATGATCTTCAAGGAATTTCAAATATTTTTAATGTTCTTCTTGAGTCCAATGGCCACAATTCTTTTTGGGAGAAAGTGATTCACATTTCTTGATTTTTTTGGATTTTGGAGATTTAGGATATGAAAGCTCACCAGAATCGTATATTCCCTATTGATCGCTTGAAGAAAGAGACATTATAATATTTATTAAACAAACAAATAATTTACAATTTGCTTTATTGTATTTATAAATTATTAGTTTCTTAAATGTGTTAATAAAATTAATAATAAAATATTAATGAGATCAATTTCCCCGAATGCATATCAATCAAGCAAAGATTCTTTTTCATCTCAACCTTAATAATAACAATAATAACAATAATAATAACAATAACAATAATAGAAGGCAATATTAAAACCACTTGTGTATGAAGCAGTTCATGTCCCTGTTAATGAATAGATTGTTCATGCTAATAACTTTAGATTAAACATGTCACCTACTCATGTTGCACCACCATCAGGTTAAACTGTCTATCGAACAGTGTAATCACCCATCAATCCGATTCCCCAATAAGTTATTTAACAAATTTAAAATATCTAAACTTTTCCTTAGCAGAAAGATTTGAAATTACAAACCTCTGTTGCTGAATTTTAAGTCCCATAGTCCTAATCTCAAGAAACACCTTCAGCAAAAAGCGATGATCGATTTTACAGGGAAGTAGAAGATAGAATTCGAGTTATTAGAAATGAGAGTGATTCATGGAAATAAAAGTTTATTATTAGTGAAAATGACAAGGTCAAATAATTGTAGGATATGGAAAACCATTACAAAATGGAAATGCATAATTAATCACAACAATTGAAGCAGTTTTATCAGGTTACAACCAACGAATTAAATGACGAACTCAAACATTTGTAAAGGGAATTGGATAATTCAAATAGGGAGACTGAAAAAGCGAGGAAGAAATGCCATTAATTAGAGATGGATTAATTTGAATTAAAGACCTAAATTGTTGATGCTAATGCTTAGAAGGATTAAGCCTAAAAAGAATTGGTACGAATGACTAATCTATATCAAAGAATCAAAATTGATATGGATGAAATGAGAACATAATAAGAGATTATGAAAAAAAGGGTTGTTAATGAATAAGAACTCGAAAAACTTAAAGAGATAATCAATTTAAGAGAAAATGAAATTGATGATTTAAAAATGAGAAATTCATAATTAGAAATATTAGGAATAGATGTCAGAAAGTTGGACACTTAAAACCATGAACTTTAAAATCAATTAGAAATACTATAGTCACAAATTTCAATATATGAAACCAAAATTATAGAGTAACGAAATGAAATTGACAATTTAAATTCAATCAATAAGCGTCTGAATAATTAATTATAAGAAAAGAAGAATCACGACAAGCTCTCAAGAACTATATAAGAATAGGAAATGCTCACTTAGTTAAATTAAGCCTAAGTTGTTTCCCAAGAAAAAGATAATTAGATTAAGTCATTAAATATTTAACTATCTTAATTTTAATTAAAGTATGATTAATTGCAATAATAAATGCAATCCATGAGAGAGAACTATGAACAAGAACTAACTGAAGCAAGAATGAAGCAAGGAAAGTTTGAATAAGAATTCTAAGATGATATTACATAAAAGTTTTAATTGATGTCAAGAGAAATATAACAATTTCAATAAGAAAGATAATAACTATTAAACGATTTATCCTAATAATCATAATAAAAGGTATTTTATTGAATTATAGTAAAGATTCGATTAGATTAAAAAATGTAATAGTAATAAAAGGAAATCGATAATTTTAACTACTAATCTTAATTAAGAAATAAAGAATTACATGACAACCAAGAAACAATCAACTAATTGACAAAGTAAGTAACAACTTTAACTAAAGAAAAACAAAATTTATAGGAATAAATTCATGTAACATAATTATAAATATAACTTAGAAATTGCATTATTAGTATTAAGACTTTAACAAAGTGAATTATTACTATGAAAAAGTGCTCTGCAGTATAGAAATGGAAGCATTAAGGGAAAGATTGGATAATGCACTTTCTGAATTAGAAACAATAAAAGCAAATCAACTTTCTATGTATAAATTTTCATGATCACTTATTATTAGATTTATTCTATATAAATTAACTGTATAATTGCTTATATAATTATTAAACAAATTCAAGCTGTTTTTGATTGAACCTTCTTTGGTTAATTTACAATTAATTTCTTCTTCTGAATCTAATCATTTTCTTATTTTTCAATCTATTTCTCATTCTTACTTTACTCATCTAAAGCCTTAATATTAAGTTTTGTTTCTTCCAATTAAATCTATTCCTAGACATTCTAAAGCTTTTTTCTAGTGTGAAGATAGAGTTTTCTCTTTATCTCAGGTTCAATTTAAGCTTCATAAAAGTCGCCTGGTTTCAAACCCATGAGTTTGTAGGGACCATAACTTTATCTAATCAGTCTATTAACTCGCAAATCAAATTTCTACATTACTTTTCTGATTTCTCTATTTTTACCTGATTCTAATCTCATAATTAACCAAGTATTTCTTGACTACCTAAATTTAAATTGTTTTTATACCTATTCTCAACGTTAACCCAATAAGGCCCATAATTTACACCAGCTATAGTGACACCATTTCTAATCTTTTTCAGCTTCTCTTCTGTAAAAGTGCCATAAACTCTTACTCTATATATACGTTGTAACTTTGTTTCAGGTAGTTCCATGCACCTGGCCAACTCTCCGTCGTTTGTTACTACTATTAGTCCCTCTGAATTGAAATCTAATCTTCCCACTGAAATAATATGCTAGTCAGTTTTTAATCTAAGCTTTGCAAAATCATAGAATGAAGGTCTTTTAAATGGATCATTGTGAGAACATATCATACCAATTGGTTTATAAAAAATCCACACTTTCTTTAATAATAAATTCTGGTTACTGTTGATTGTTTCACTGGCATTCTTTCTCCATTTTTTGTAAATACTTGTATTTTGTTCTCAGGAGTGACTGGTATATTGCTCTCTACTTTTTTCCCATCCACTAAAATCATACCAGATTCAATCATTTTTTCTGCTTCTCTTCTTGAACATACACTTGTTTAAGCCAAGTATTTACTTAATCTCATAGGTTCAGATTCAATTAAATTTTATTTTGCTAAAGATTGCTTTGCTACTTGGGAGGTTTTGCTTATGAGTTGTGAAAATGCAGCAAAAAATTTATTTATAATCATTAATATTTTTATTAAGGTATTATTCTTAAAATTATTTATAATAATGATTATTTAATATTGCAAATCATAACTTTATTGATCAACTCCATTATTGATCTACATATAATATTTAAATACAAAAATGATGTGAATCAATTAATCTTTTTTTTAATTAAGTTTTTAGTTGTTTCTGGATGTAAATTAAATAGAAAAGGTTGTTTATAATTGGAGTGTTTATTCGAATGAAAGGACAAAGATAATCTTTTGGATGTATTTTGAGTTTCTTTTTCTACTTCTTTCTCAGGCTCTCTTTCTTATGAGTGTTGTTTAATGTATGAAAATTTCTAAGTTAAGACTTAACTTTTCAACTTAGGATTATGATACATTTCTGGTTCTGAAGTGAAATTCATAGAAATTTATTTTCCTTACTCTCCTTAGAAAGAAGGATTTTTTTTCTATAAATAGGTTTGATACTCATTTTCAATAAATTGAATATGCTGTTGTCTAATTTAACTGGGTAAACCTTCTAAAATGAAGACATGCATCAACGCTTCGATAGGTTTGATCCTTTTCTTTGGATTCCATACCAAACATTTAGACAAGAAGTCAACAAATAAATTATCATTGCATCTTAAAATGCTATTCAAGTTCTTGCTTCCAGGCAATCTTACTTTCCCTCTTTTGTTTTAGTAGATTAACGGTTTAAAAGGGGGGTAATCTTTGAAAAACAATTTTCTCCTTTCAGCACCCTTTTCAATTATAATCAATCGAATACTTGAAGCATATCTGGATCGGGAGGACCCAACATTTCTAGTATGAAACTAATTTATTCTTGCTCGTTTTCTCCAGGGAATAAAGGGAATCCGAGGTACAATTCGGCTAGAATGCATCCGAAACTCCACATGTCAATGCTTTTACTGTAAGGAATTCCAAGGATGACTTCTGGGGCTCTGTAATATCGGGATTAGATGTAGGTGTATATTTTTTGATCTTCAAAACAGCTACTGCCAAAGTCTATTATTTTGATGCCACTCTTGTTGGCATGTTTGAGTAGAATATTTTCTGGTTTTAAATCGCAATGAATTATATTGTGTTTGTATAGAAAACTCAATGAGTTAAGTATTTAAATAGCAAATCTCCTAATCAATTCTAATTGTAGTCCTGAAAAGTTGTTTAATTTGATGAGGTCATATAAATTCATTGAGAGTAATTCAAAATTCAAACACTTAAAATTAGCATTAGAATTTTACCACATGATTTCTAAATACAAAATAGTCTTTAATCTTTATGATATTTGTCAGGTTTTCAGGATCCTTATCTTTAATGTATGTTAAAATTTGAATTTCTATTAGGGATTAATTATAAAACTTTTTTTTGTTTCTAATTATCTTCAAACAAGAAACAACATTTTTCTAATGATCAAATACTTTAAGTGCTTAACCAAAACTCCCCTTCCCAATTACTTCCAACACTTCAAATCGATATGCAATATGATCATTTATATTAATCTGATATTCTCCTTTTTCATTATCAAATCCTTCATTGAACGACGTCATCTAATTGTTTTACTTTTTTGCTGAATATCCTATGCAATAAATCTAAATTAAATTCAATCATTCTGTATTACATCCTTATACGATTGTATTTCCTGTTTTTCAAATTGTGTTAAGTAGCCTCCATACTCTTTTAAGCATTCATCGCTATTCAATGGGACTTTGATTTTTGACCAATCCAAGGGCTTTGAGTGTTTGGGCGATCCCGACTCATCCAAAATGTTGGAATACACTTTCTAAATGGTTGATTGAATGAGTCTTACTTAGAGGGAATGCTGATCTCTGGAGGTTGCCTTTTTGCCTTTGCCATAGATGGAGTAAAAGGATGGGTATTGAATGCATTTAATTACTTTAGCTTCTTACACTCTTTCGATGGAGTCATTCTTTTTAAAATTACTAAACTCGGTTTGGATTTCTTTAGATTTTGTCTCTAATTTTAACTAATAATTTTATGTATGATAATGCTATTTTTGAGAGGCTTATATCTTCGAATCCTGGAGGATTTCCATATCCTTTTGGATTTCAATGGACGAACCTGATTTGTCTGTGAGATTGGATCTGGGTTGAGTGAGTTTTTTAGAAAATTGTGAAATCTGAGTGGAGAAATTTATGGATGGAGTGATTTTATTTGAAACCTTATTATAAATATAGAATACTAACTCGATTATACGGTCTTCTTCTGGGAGACGAACTTTCGTTATTGTAGAATTCTGGCTGAAACATACCTTTTTGATTGTCTCTATTCTTAGTGGTCTGGGGAAACCCATATTGATTGGAGTCAAAAGAATAATTCTATAATATTAATGCGATTTTACAATAATTTTTTTGTCTTATTGATATAATCTCGGCCTCATGGTTGTTAAAAATAATTAATATTTTTATATATTTATTTATTCTTGATCATCTGAAGACTTCGTTCAAATATTTCTTCTCATCAAACAGTTTTTCTATTGATAATTCTGGAATCTCCACTTCTTCCCATTTGCCCTCCCTATCAAAAAGGTAAAATTCATTTTGCTAATTGTTATAGTAAATCATATCGTAGTCCACTCGAATAGTGTGCTCGAACAAATTGAATCTGGCACTCTGATTGTAATCACCAAATGTGGCAGGGATGATGTTTTAAGGAACAACCTAAATCTAATTGATAAATCAAACATATTTCGTATAAAGTCCTGAATGAGCCAAACATTTCAATTACAATAGATTAGATTCCTTCGAATATGACATTCCAACAACAAAATGTTTGCCGTGATCAAACAAATACCTCTCAAGAAAGATGGGAACCAATTAAAAGTACTCCTTGAAAGGCACATAGGATTATGAAAAATTGTTTAATTTTTAATCTAGCAATGTGTTTATAATATTAATACCCGAAATTGATGACTTATATAAAGGAATCAATGTATTCTGATTGATCGAGGAAATGCTGACTTTGTGAATGAAATGATATCTAAACAAGGATTTCATTATTTAATATTAATAATATAAATATTTATAATATTTTGTCAATATTTTATATTGGTCTGGAAATGCAGTCTATTTATTTGTTCCTTTAAGTGTTCCTCCAAAGATCCACATTCCCCATTTAATATTTCTTAATATATATCTAGAGCTTGCTAAAGTAATCCCAGTTTCTCATTCGTCTCCGCTAATTGAATCTCAAATTGATTAATTTCCTCTGTAAGCATGTCTTGGATCTTGGCCCAATTTATAGCCTTTTGCAGCAATTCCTTCGCAGTCAAATACTCTTCAATATTGTAAAATTCTTTGCTTAAACGAACCATCAAGTTTACTTATCCAGCCTAATGAATTATATAAACTATTCAATACATCTGTTTTATTCATCTCTTTCAAGGCTGAATTAGCATCTCTGAACCTTTTGCCATCCTTTAAACAATTCAATGCAATGTATCCCCAAACTGTATCATTTGTAGGTTCATACAGATTAGCCATTCTCAAGGCATCTTCTGCCTCCTTATACTTTCCACATTCGTGAGAAGAAATACCCAATCCCATCCAAGATAATGATGAATTGTCCTTTATTTAACAAGCCTTTGTGAATACAGCTCTAGCATTACCAAACTACTTTTCGGTGATATAAATTGAGCCCAGCATCAAATACATACTAAAATAAGTAATCTGATCTTCTCTCAATTAGGGATTTGGTAACACAAATTTAATCTACTTCTCACATTTATCAAAGGCTTGGCTCTTAAACAATACTTTTATGTATTCAATACGTATTTCTAAGTTTTCAGGATTAAACTCTGAGAATATATTATATGATTATACCTAGCATATTTTCAATCAAATCCAGGCACTAAGCATACTCAGATTTATATAAGTATATTTTTGCTCTTAACATAGTAATCTTATTGTGAGACTGGTCATTTAATAGACTCAGAGATTATTCAGCCAATTCAAAGAGACAAGCATTCTCAAAGAATTCAACTAATTGCAAAATCATCTGATCCTATTATTATTCTGTCAATTATGGCTAATTATGGGCATTCTCCCAGGCAATTCTTTGTTACTCTCTTTATTCTAAGATGGCCTTGTCTTTTTCTGGTTTATCTGGAACTGGAATAGGAATCTTGATCCAAGGAATATCGAATAGTTAAGGATCTTCATGATGCATTCCTTCCTACTTAATTAGATTCAGCTGTCTCAGCCATATCCTCTCAGCTTTTTGCATCATGAAATCAGCTAGTTCTTAGTCTTATGACTGAATAATAAGATTATAGAAGAGATGATAAATTAAATTGTTTGGATCTTAATCCAATAATAATTCCAAAATAAATTTAGCTTCTGAAATCTTTTCTCGTTTTTAATACAAACCAGCTAGTAACAATTAATTTTATTGATTATGTCCATCAAAAGATAAGGCTTATTCTACAAGTGTTACTGCTTAATCTATTTTAGCGCATCTGAGACAAAAGAATGCAAACTTCATTAAAGCATCTTGATCCTTTGGATTAATTAAGTTTAAATCTCTAAGATGTTTTTCTACCTCTTCAGTTCTATTTAATATTTCATACTCTTAACATAATCTCTCAAGCTGCTATTTTCTGGTTTCATTTGTTTTTTCAACTATGATCTCCTAAAACCCAACATCTTAAATTGTTTTTTTCTTTGATAGTAAATGAGAGAAATCCTCTTACAATGCTTCCTTATTCTCTCTTACCATATTTATTAACACCTATCTCATTTCTTCCATTAGAAACACATACAATTCTGAGTAAAATTAATCAGATTGCGTTGTTGAAATACCTGTTACTGAACCAGATTTACCAAACTTATCTCTGCATAGTTTCACTATGCTCTTTTTTATTCTTTCCTTTAATATTTTGTATTTTCCTGATATGTTGAAATCATACAGGAAGTGTTCCTTCCTTTATTACAGAGATTATTTCTTATGAGTCATTAGCATATTGCTTTGTTTCTCATTTTGATATTTGTTTAGGTCCTTCGAAAACATATTCGAATATTCCATTGCCAACGATTCTATAATGACCTACAGATCACTCCTCAACTCTTCAATGCACTACTAACTTAATGGGATTGGTTGAGGTTCAGGAGCTAGAGGAATCAAATCTTAAAATGTTGGTTAGGGTTCAAATCTAATAGGGGTTATCGGTTGAGATAAATTGATTTTTAAGTACATATACATCGTTTCCACATTAGGTCTAGGTGTTTCAGCAGGAGATTGTTCATCCATATACTAAGTAAACTTGATTCTTTGGATAGTTTCAATTTATCCTGCAGTTTAAAATGGTAAATAATCTATCCAAGCCTTAAATACAATGATATTTAAATCATTCACATTTAGAGTCTTAGGTTTGGTTTTCTTGAGTTTTGCTACTTCTTCATCTCCTGGAATTGGGGATTTATATAAGAATATCCATTCTCCCTTGTCAACTCTCACTCTCTCCTGTTATATCACCAACCTTTAACCAGTTAACTCTTAAGAGAACGAATTCTGATCAAACTTGATGCTTGGACTTTTGAATTGATCCTCCTAAGTCTTATAAAACTATTCTTCCTCTGTTAGAGCGTCCCATTCAGCCTTAAGTCTCTTTTATTCTTCCAGTTCCATTTATTCTTTTTGAAGCTTTTCCTTTTCTTCTTCTGGTGTTAATTTAGGAGGCTAAGAGTAATGATTCCAATTACCTCAATTTTAGCATCTTTTTTCGGTTATTTTTTTGCTTTCTTTGCTGCCTCTGCTTCTTCTATTTCCTTCTTCTCCTTCTCAGTCAATTCTCGAGGTAATACTTTCCCACCTGACAATCTTTAATCAAGAAATGCAACTGAGTATTAAAATAAATTGGGATTGGCCTCATCAGTTACTCTCCATTCTTCAGGAAAGGAAAATACACCATTTATGACGAAACTCATCTTGATGTTTGTTTTTCTTGCAGGCAATTTTTCAAGAAGTTTTAAGTCATTCATGATTAATATTATAATAAAGAAAATTTTCAAATAAAGAAAATATTTTGTTCATAACTATATTCAAAATTCAGGAATCAGAGGAACTTATCATTTCTAGAGATATTTTAGTAAAATATATGAAATCGAAAAACAAAAGTTTTACATAAATATGATCATATATTTTCAATAAATAAAGAAATTATATGTCATATAATTCTAGGACTTATTCATTATATAATTAAATTCAAGAGTTCTATGTTGTATCATCTAATTAATCCTCTATCTTGTACTAAAATATCAAAATCTATATATCAAGTGTTTACTAGATTTTTCATTTTGTAAGTCCCTTTATAAATAACATATTTTAATTTAATTTAGCTATAAAAATGACATATTTATTTCATAAAGAGAAAAGGCAATGCAGGAGAATATTAATACTCAATAGAAGGAAATAAAACAATATCTCATTTTATTTGATATCAATGAATAATTTTTATAAACTTAAATTATATATAGTAGTTAAAATCTTATATGTCCCGAATCATTTACTTTCTAGCTTTTTCATGCTAAACACAAATTTGGCTTTAATAGGAGAGATAAACTTTGGAGCAAAAACAGGTACGCTCAATTATGGATCTTCTTGCATGATTGTTCTTTAACTCATTGAGTAGGATCTTTGAAAACTATTATTCATTGAAGATGGTTATCCAGAAATCTATGATTCATTCTCTTCTAGAATGATTGATTACTATTTTGACAATTGGTTGTTCTCTTATTAAACTTATTCCTTTTAGTAATCTTAGCTTTTTAAGCTTTATCTTCTCTTCCATTCTTCATAGTAAGGATTGACTTTCTTTTATGTTTTCTCTATAATGACTGATTAGGACAGCTTTGAGTCATATTATCTCTTTTTGTCAACATCAAAAGATTATGAATAAAATTTAGTATCTTCTTACTTCATGATATTTTGATCATTAGATTATGTGAGATAAGCAGGGAGAATATTGGTTGTGGATTCCTCCTATTTTTGTAACTCCTATCGATTTTATCTCTCAAGCCATGCTAAATAATAGGGGTTTGTAGACTTCTTACGGGGAGAGACTAATATTTCACTTTAAGTCTTTCGATCATCATTTTTTTCAACTTTTAGTTTCTCGACTTCAGCTTATTGTCTCTTCAATTCTTCAATTTCAGATTGCTTCCACGATTTAATTAGTTTTTGCTATTTCTATTTTTGTATCATCAGTATTTCTTATTATGTTGGTATGAGTAAAAATTAAGATTTAACACTGCTAGTCATCGATTGATTCAATTTGCTCATGGATTGATTTAGTCTATCTTCTTGTTGTTGAGCTTTAGGTTTAACAGATTGTGATTTCTATTGAAGTTTTTTATCGGAATCATTGTTTTAAGGTGTATTTTTTTAGGATTTATTTGTAACAATAGATTGCGAAACATTTGTTGAT